CTCTTCACTCTTTCCTTTTTGTCTACTGTTGAGTCCGTGAGAGAAAGTGGTGGATTTTCAGGGAAGACGACTGAAAATGTGGAGCTTTTCTTCATTTCGTTGACTTGAGTTTCTTCATCTCTTCATCTGGGTTTGTGACATTTTAGCGGAAAATGAGGAAACATGGATGGCAACTTCCTTATCACCCACTTCAGGTGCTCTTTTCCTGGAAAATTTTCAGTTTACCCCCTTTCTCTTTGGATCTCAAAGTGATTTTCGTTGTGAAGTTCTGATTTTGATGTAATTTCTCCGACTTTATTTTCCTGGGAAAAGGTGGTGGCAGTTGCTGTGTTCTTGGCTCTAGGGTTTGCTTTCTATGTGTTCTTTGCACCCTTTGTTGGCAAGAGGATGTATCAGTACATCGTGATGGGCGTTTACACTCTTCTGGTGAGCTGAATTTTCTTCTTTCGCTTTATGAGTTTTTTGTCTGAGATCTGCCTTGTTCTTTGCTTAAAGATAAGATTGTATAGTTTTGGCTTTTAATGCGTTATCCCTATTTAGTGGCCTTTTTCTTTTTCTGGGTCATGGTTATCGTTCTGCTAACACATTTTCCTTAGTTCTATGATCTGAAAATATGTTACTATCATATATGTGGAAATGGATCACTTTTCCTGTAGTTGGGTTTCCCTTTGGGCCTGGTGGAAGATCAAAGGCCTCCATTCTTATGCACGTTTGCAGAATTATCCGAGAAATGCACAAGTTAGCTTATCTCTTGAAAATTTCTTGATTCCAAGCCATTTGTTGTGTGTAATGGAAGATTTGTTCACATCAATGGTGATTTCTTTTCCTGACTTGTTCCGTTGTTTTGGATTATTGGATGAATTCAAGATCTTTAGTCCGAGCTCTTCCTCTTTTTGAATCTGAGATCATTAGAAAGTTTTGGACTTTATAGGGGTAAATTTTGATAAATTGCTTGTTGTTCCTCTGCTGGATGATTGGTATCTTATTGCAGACAATTTGAGTGACATCTCTTTCTTTCTAGATTACATGTGTCTTTGGCCTATACATATGGTGTGCGGCTTCAGATCCTGCAGACCCGGGAGTTTTCCGGTCCAAGAAGTACGTAAAAGTTCCCGAAAACGGGAAGTTTGCCCGAGCAGACGAGATGAAAGATGGAAATGCAGCTACAGGTGATGGGAATTCATCTCCCATAAGTCTGCTTTGCTCTCCTTTTGCACTGCTTTGTCATTCTTGCAATCGAAGGGATGAATCTTCTGAGCAGAAGATGAGCGAGGATGGAATGTTTTATTGCAGTTTGTGTGAAGTTGAGGTAAGGAGAGGCATTTGAATTCAACGATTTCTTCTTCTTCTTTAGGTGAAGCTTGTTCCACAGTTCATTACCATGAAAAGCTGATAATTTTGCAGAAAATTCCTTGGTTGTGTAGATGATCTAATCGATTCTTTTGGGGGGGGGGGGGGGG